AATTTAACAACCGGTTCTCTGCCCTAATGACGCTGGGTAGGAGTGGCTGGGCGGTGGGTTTCAAATGGTTGAGTAGAAGTAAGAGACGAGTTGGCCACACCCTCCCAGGTTTTGTGGTTCCCAGTGTTTTCTTTTCTGTGGGAAATGGGTCCAAATGGCTCTGAGTGTTTAGGGTTGCCGACCCCTGGGCTAAGTATATATTATCAGGACCATTAGCTTTTTGAGGATTGACTTTCCACAGGATCTTACGAACAGCAGTTGTATCAACCTGAGTACCTGCTCATCAGGGAGTGGAACAGTCTTCCTTGCTGGAACATTGTTTGTGGCTTCAAACCATCCAAAAAACATATTTAGCTTGTTTAGAAAATCTGTATCACCCTTAAATGTCAGGGAAGCTGTTTTATTAGTCAGTAATGACCCGGACACCTTGCCACCTACGTCTTGAGTCCATAGGACCTTGAAAGATCTATTTCTCTTGGTATAATGAGATCCAGCTACAGATGAAGGCAGAATTAGGCATTCCTGTGTGAGGACAGAGTGTAAGGAAGAATGAAAGAAACTGATTGCTAGGATGTAACAATGCTACTGGGATCAGACACCTGTAAGTAAAAAGTACGTTCTGTACATTCTGACTATAGGCCCGCTTTGCTGTTTTTATAGCATGTCTCAAATCAGCTCTTGCTATTCTAAATGCTGCCACATCAACAGATATGAAAGTGGTGTTTCTCACCTTCAATATCGCACGGACCTCCTGTGACATCCAAGTTTTCTCATTTGCTCGTATGGCAAAACTCTTAAGAACACTCACATCCTCCATAGTGATGTGAATCACTATGCAATGACAGACCACATAAATACAGCAAGGTCCGTGCCACATTTTTGTTTAATTCTTCCATTACAAACTGTGCCAAAAATGACAGGTCTTGATATGTCTTTACAATGAGCTGAGTACCTTTTGTTTTTTTGGCTTCATATAAACACTGGGACCTCCCAATTCTTCCCCTTGTGAAGCACAGTAAGAGATAAAAGTCTTGGCTCTGTATGTCATCGAAGATCTAAATTCAATTGTTCTCAAAGAAAGGCCTTAATTTCAACTAACTCTTAAAGTCATTTAAAAGAAAAGCTTCTGTTGATTTCAGTGGAAAGAATGTTACAAATAAAATTTCCTTCCTGAATTAAGTGTTTATTAATATTGAAAGCAACATACCATATCAAAATCCTACCAGATTCTTCTGCAAACTATCTTCTCTTCCCAGCAGATATTTTGAAAGGGGTCATGCAAACTTCAGTACTAGCTGTGTCATTGAATTGTGAGTCACTCAGCCGATTGACTATAAAATAATCAATGTGGGATGAGTTGACGAACCTGACAAACGACATGCAAGCAGCTGGTGTTTTTAGCAACTTTCTTATTCTTCATTGTCCCACAAAATGGCTCTCATTTCCATCCTTCATCCCCCTCTATTGTAGAACTCATCTTACTGAGGAATTCAGAGATTATAGAGAGAGATGCCAGATAGTCATAAACAAATTAAAATTGATACTATACCTTGAGAAATTCTAGAATGGTTGTGTATTGTAGATTTTAAAGTACCAATGTCCTCTTCCAAGGGATTTCTCCCCACTAAACAAGAGCAACTTTGACATCAATTTGAAATTCATGATGCAACTGACTGTCTATTTAAAAAGTTTGTGAAGAAGATAAAGAATAATTTGCAAACGTCCTGTTTTGCACATGAATATGTTTTAGTGAGAACTGTTAAGCATGAACAAATGAAGTCCTGGTTATTTACCATGTGTGAGAGTGAATACGTTACGTTGATCTATGCTTTGTAACTGAAGTGTGTGTGTGTGTACCATCATCATCATCATCATTTTTGCCATTCTCTATACACCACAGGATGAAGGCTCTTCCACATGTTTCCAACCAATACAGTCCTGAGCTTTCTTTTGCCGATTGGGCCCACAATAGTTGCTGATGTCATTGATTCATCTTGTTTTAGGTCTCTTTCATAGACGCTTTTTATCAACTGGGATCCTTTCTATGACTGCCTTGGTCCACTTGCCATTAGTTCTTCTTGCTATATGACCAGCCCATTTCCATTTCAATTCTTTTACTCTTTTGATGATATTGCATACTTCCATTTGTTCTCTAATCCATTTAAGCCACTTGATTTGCAGATGATGTTGTTATATTTATTTATTTATTTATTTATTTAAAACATTTGTATAGCTGCCCGTCTTTCAACCAACTCTAGACGGTTCATGTATTATAATATATGCCAATTTTGTGTAGTGCTTAAGGTGTTGTCCTGGAAACCAGAAGACCTTCAATTCTAGGTCTGTCTTAGGCATGAAAGCTGGCTGGGTGACTTTGGGCCAATCCCTCTCAGCCTAACTCATCTCAAAGGGTTGTTATTGTGGGGAAAACTGGAGGAGGAAGGAGTATTAGGTATATTCACTATCCTGAGTTATATATTAAAAGATGTGATGAAAATATAGTAATAATCATGTATTCAGATATTAACAGCCATTAAAATGTAACTATGGAAGCTGATGATGAAGTGGGATAGTAATAGTCAGGCTAAGTTATGTAAGCACTGAGCAGATAGCTCCTAATCTCAAGGCTGGAAAGAGAATGACCAAATTTTAAAAGGGCAGGAAAAAAGGGGCTAGAATATAAACTTTGCGACAGATACGAAACACATATACACACACAGTTTGATTTCTGTACTGCAGCAGCCAGAATTCTGTACATTTATGGGAAGCTATGTTGAGTGGCTTCCTGAATATAAGTAAACTATCTGGAGAGTTGAGACTCGCTCCCATAGCCAGCATGGAGGGGGACAAATATCAATCCGAATATTAAACCAAATGTGCAAGAAATTGTCTTTTTTATCTCAAATGTTCCCCTTGTCAACCTCTTATCTGCAGTAATTAATAATTATCAGTTTTTTTTTAACATACTTTCCATTTAGCTTTTAGGAGAATATTTATTGATGCAATAGTCCCTTAAATTTTTCCACTACATTTTCTTAACAAATACCCCAAGCTATGAAATTATTGCTGGTGCTTGTTTCATTGGGAAACAACTGTAGTCAACTGCCTAAAGTCTAAATACATATGATATCTGTGCAAAGATGCACAATAATTGCATACATTTCTCAAACTCTGCAAGGCCAAAATGCTGGTTTACAAGTAGCAAACTCAATATTGCTTCAGCAAGTAAGCACCAACATTGCTGAATATTGCTACCACAAATTAATTGACTAATTACTAGTACACCTTACTTTATTCAAGTTCCAAATTCAGTCAGATTCTCATCAATTCCCAATTTAAACATGGCTTACACTTTGTAACGATACTTCAGAAAGTTCCTTCTTTTACTCTGCTTCACTATTCTCTTAGTCCTCAGGAATAAATATATATTACCTTCAAATAAATATATTATCTGCAAGTTCAACTAACATGCATATCTGGAAAAAGTCTGCTTTTCTCCAAATGAGATTGTTCCCTCCTCAAATAGATGATGATGTCACCTACAGTGAAGAACAACATGAAAGCCATGGTATGTCCTTTGGCTACTAAAGGCACTGAGGGCCAAATTGATTCCACTAGGCTCATAACCATGTGATCTTGTTATCTTCTCACAAGACCTAGAACAGCTACAAAGACAAGAGCTGCACAAATCAGAAGGACCATTTGGCTTAAAAATAAACCTGAAAAAGAGCCAGGTTATGTTTAATAAAGTCACCAAAGAAATAAATTAATTAATATCTGGAGAAGAACTAGACATAGTAACCATTACATATATTTTGGCCGATGGATCAAAATGGAAGGTAATACAATGAAGGAAATTGAATGGTGTTTTAAGTGTGATTGGCAGGCATTTGGCAAGCTAAGCATAATTTTCAAAAACACCCCCCCCCCCAAAAATGCGGAAGAGGCCTTCATCCTGCAATGGATAGACAATGGCTAAAATGATGATGAAAATATGAAATGATGATAGAGTAGCTTTGTATATACATAAATGTGTGTGTGTGTCAGGGTTGATGTACATCAGGGTTGATGTCGAGAGCTTTATTCAGTCTGTTCCCCCAACAGTTCTATTTCAGGTTTTCAGTTAACCCCCAGCTGCAAGCTTAGCACAGGAATTGGCTTGACCAAGTAGATAACCAAAAGCAAAACAAACTTACAGCCAAACCTAAAACAGTCTTGGAAATAAAGGTTTTGCCTGGATAGGTTCCAAAAATAAATAGCCACAATCCCCTCCAAAGTCTGGGACCTCCACTGAGCTTTGTCAACAAGTCTGGTGGTCCAGTTTCAGGGCTTACAAGGAGAAGGCAATGGAATTGTCCAAGCCAGGAGTTCAGTGGGTCATTTTCAGTGAAGCCAGCCACGAACACGCTCCAGACTAACCTTCCATGCCATGGCCAATTAGTCCACCCAACAGATAATTGGCTGCTCCAAACATAAACACTCTCCACAACTGAATTAAATCAACAAGCTGCAGAGTTCCAGAAACATAAACATCTGGTCACATTGTTTCCAGCAATGCCTCCCTCTGCCAGCCATGCTAAATAGCCTATCCTGTACAGCCCGTTAAGAGGGGTGGAGCCTTTCCCCCATCAATCTGGCTGGTCTCTGTCTCTCTGCCCTGCACACTCTAACATCCACCAAGGTCGGCAGCTCCTCCCCCTCTTCCTCATTGGCCTGCGAGCTCTCCCCAGCCAAGGCACATTCTGCCAGCAGCACAGGGTCAGCAATATGGAGGGGATGATGCCCCAGCACTTTAAGGAGGCTGTGGTCCATCCTCTTCTTAAGAAACCATTGCTGGACTCCACCCGGTTGAATAATTTCCGACCTGTCTCCAATCTTCCCCTTTTTGGGGAAGGTTGTTGAGAAGGTGGTTGCACAGCAGCTCCAGAGGTTTCTGGATGAAATGGATTATCTCGACCCCTACCAGTCAGGATTCCAGCCTGGATTTGGGACAGAAACAGCATTGGTTGCACTTTTGGATGATCTCTGGCAGGAGTGGAATGGGGGTAGTACATCCATGCTTGCTCTACTTGACCTCTTGGCAGCTTTTGATATCATTGACCATGGGATTCTCCTGAGGTGACTTCGGGGAATGGGAGTGGGAGGCCTTGTGCTATCTTGGTTCACTTCTTTCCTCTGCAACTGCTCTCAGTCAGTGTTGATAGGAGGGGAGAGATCCAGCTCTCGCCCACCGCTTTACGGGGTTCCACAAGGCTCGGTGCTCTCTCTGCTCCTGTTTAACATTTATATGAAGCCACTGGGTGAGATCATCCGTCACCATGGACTGAGGTATCACCAATATGCTGATGATACTCAGCTGTATGTCTTGGCCCGTGGTGAGTTGAGTGTTGCTGTGTCCTCCCTCTCGCAGTGCCGGGAGGCTGTTAGGGGCTGGATGGGGAGCAACAGGTTGAAAACTAAACCCTTGGAAGACCGAGTGGCTCTGGGGTTGGGGTTCATTGGCTCAGGGAGAATTACCACCTTTAGTCTTGGATGGGGTGGCACTACCCCAAACAGACCCTGTGCATAATCTAGGGGTTTTCCTGGACTCACAACTCCTGTTCGAAGAGCAGGTGGTGGTCATGGCCAGGAGGGCCTTTGTGCAACTGCAGGTTGTGCACCAGTTATGCCCTTTCCTGGATCAACGGTCCCTACTCACAGTTACTCATACCCTGGTCACTTCCCATCTTGATTATTGCAACATGCTCTACATGGGGCTGCCCTTGAAGAGCATCTGGAAGCTCCAGTTGGTGCAAAATGCAGCAGCCCACATGGTTTTGTGCAGACCCCAGTGTGCACATGTGTCACCTTTCCTCCAGGAGCTGCATTGGTTGCCAATTTGCTTCCGGGTGCAATTCAAGGTGTTGGTTGTCACCTTTAAAGCCATTGAGCTTGGGCTCCAGGTTATCTGGGGGAACATTTCTTGCCAGTCACATCTACCCGACCCATTAGTGCAAGGAAGCAGGGAATGTTGCGAGTCCCACCCCTGAGGGAGATACACCTGGTGGGACCCAGAAGAAGGGCCTTCTCCGTGCTGTCTCTCTGTCTGGAATATCATTCCCCCAGAGATTACAATGGCCCCCATTCTAACACTCTTCCCAAAAGCACTGAAGACCTGGTTTTGCTAGCGGGCCTGGGGAACCCAGAGAGGAATGGAGCCCATCAAATGGCTGGTGTGATCTGCTGTTGTCAGGGCAGGGGATGGGAGTTGGTTTTATTTTCCCCAAATTTTGTTCTATTGTATTTTACTAATGTATTTGATTCTTTTTATTAGTTTTTGTTGTTTTGTATTTTTATTTTATTTTTTGTTTTAAATATGGTTTTACATTGTATAAGCCACCTCGGGTCTCCATGGGCGAATAGGTGGCAATATAAATTAATTAAATAAATAAATATTGGACATGCCAGGAATGCTCTCATTCTCTCTTGAAGCCTCTGAGGAAGATGTGGATGAACCATCACAGTGAATATGTACACACACACACACACACACACACACACGCAATATATATACAAAATCCAAAATACACTGCCTGTTTGAAAACATGGGATACAGCTACATATATCATCAAAACATGTACACAACAATATTTACACAATTTATGAAATTTCCCATTCAAAAGATGAGATATGATTGGTCAAGTAAGATATTCCTTGAGCAATCCATGCTGATTTCTGTTAATTATATTAACAGCCATTCTTGACAAAAGCAAATTTTGCAGAGGTTCACTATCAAATGCCATGTTGGGGAAAAAGAGGTTGGGATACAGAAATCTCAGAACTTCCTTTATTAACGAATGAATGAAGTTGGGGTGTTTATGATTGTTTCATCTCCTTTTCCAAAATTGCCCAACAGAAGAGATAATAGCACTTGTTTCTGATCAAAGTAAAGTACCCATCTGTTTTATTTTGTCATATTTTTGAGATACTCTCCTTTCTTTCTCAGTCTCTGAAAGTTCTCTTATACAAGATATCAGAGGTCAGATATCTGCAGAGTGGTCTGCAATTTTGTGGATTTCTTTCTTTTCTCTGTTTTTGCAAAACTGATCTTTGTTTTCTTTCTGTCACTTCATATGTCTTGAAAATGTAAAGTAATTTAAAGTAAGGTAAAGAAGTGTTCACTGACCATGCATTTCTTGATTGCAATCTTCCATCCTGCTTTTTACAATTTCCTGGAAGAAATTTTAATTTTGTTTTTATATCAAGATTGAATCAACATAGGAAATGAGTAGCTCCACTTTTCCTTTAGTATCTATTAGCAATTTGCCTTCTTGAACAAGTGGCCTACTAATTATTTTATTTTTATTTTGAACATATCTAAATAAGCCCAAAATGTTATTTTTTTAAAGGTTTTTCTTTATTAAACAAATACAAACACAAACACAAACAGATTTTACATTGAAAAGTTGAACGTGGTACAGTTTTCCTAACATCAATCATTGTCATTACATCGCTAAATTCAATAATAATATTATATAATTTCCATCTATACACTTTAAATATGCATATAATCATTCCTTATTCTCATGAATCTTCCTCGTCTCTAGCCAACCATAAAATCTATCCCTTGTTTTATAATAATCCAAATCCTCCTTATTTTTTAGTTCTTTTGTTAGTTTATCCATCTCTGCACACATTGTAATTTTCCTCAATACTTCCAATTCATTTGGGATATCTTTACTTTTCCAATTCTGTGCGTACACCAACCTTGCTGCAGTAATTACATGGATCATTAAGTACATATTTTCTTTATCGTATTTCCTAGTGTTAATTACTAACAGAAAAACTCAGGCCTATATTGTATTTTAATTTCTTCTATCTACTTATGTAGATTTTGCCAATATTTTTGGGCCTCGTTGCAATTCCACCATAAGTGATAATAAGTTCCTATTTCTTTTTTGCATTTCCAGAAAGTTTAGAGTTCATTTTTGCCAGTCTTGGTGGGGCTATGTGCCATCTATAAAATAATTTATACAAATTTTCTTTGAAAGATATTGCTAGAGTCATTTTTTATTTCTATTCCAAAGTTTTTGCCAATCATCTAAAATAATGCTATAACCAAAATTTTTCATCCATACCACCATCGTTTCCTTTACTTTTTCTTCTTCCAATTTAAATTCCAATAAAACTTGATATATTTTTTTTATCATCTTCTCCTCAGATCCTAATCACTTCCATCCTTAGGTATAATTGTTATCCTCGCTTCTTTCCAATATTTCAGAATTTTAGCTTTGTCAGGCTACAGAACTTTTTCCCATTCAATTAACAAAAATAAACTTCTGAAAACCAAACATATCAAAAGGAATCCTTTATTGAGACGAGACAATTCATGTAGGAGTTCAAAGCAGCATCCGAGGTCCCTCAGGCATACAGGGATAGATAAGGGAGTTTAGAACCCTTCCCCTTATCTCAATGTGTATTTAGTGAAACAAAAGCCAGTATGTTAATTCCCACCCCACCCCTTCTGTAGAAACAATCTTTTTCACAGTTTCCCAGGGCATACCTAATTTCCCCCCACCCCCTTTTTAGAATGAACTTTTTCAGAGATTCCCAGGACACATCTCACTGTGGAATTTTTATGATCTTCTCATCTCCTGGCTGTGCCTCTCAGAGGTGATAGGTTCTGGCCATCTGGCTTTTCTCCCTCGATTGTATCATGTGTGAGTTATACAAATTCAATATAAGATTAAATATATTCAGGTTACATCAAGAAAGGATTTCTTTATCAGTCTCCCCCCCTTTTCTTCTTCCACTGAAGAAATGACAGATACACGGATCTGACAAGCTTCTTCTAATACTTCATTGAATATTCTAAACATTTTGCTACTTAACGTATCCTGTTGCGATTTATAGATTTCCTCTGGGAGACCATCTAGGCCGGGGGCTTTGTCATTTTTCTGCTAATTTATTGCCCAATGGACTTCTTCTATTGTTATTTTCTGGTTCAGAATGTTTTTATCTTCGTCTGAAATTTTTGTAAGTACTGCTTTCTTTAGGTATCCTTTTATTTTTCCCTCTAATGGATATTCCTCCTCTTTCTATAACTTCTCATAGTATTTTTGAATTATCTTTCTTTTATCTTCCTCTTGCTAGCAAATCTCTCCTTGGTTGTTTCTTAATTGGTAATCCACCTCTTTCCTTTTTGTTTTTTCAATTTATACGCTAACCAGCATCCTGGTTTATTCGCATTCTCAAATTGATATTGTTCTGTCATTTTTAATTGGTGGGCTAACTCTTCTTTCTCTGTTAAATTTATTTTATGTTTTAATAGTTCCATTTGTAACTTAAGTTGTTTCTTCTGTGGTGTCTCTTGTAGTTTCTTCTCAAAATCCTTATATTCCTGTTCAAGTATTTTTCTTTGTTGTTTTTTCTCTTTGTTTTTTTTTCACCATATATTTTATTGCTACTCCTCTTATCGATGCTTTGACCATATCCCAATTATTTTGTGAGGAGGTATCCTCCTCTTTATTTTCATCAAAGAAAAATTCCAATTCTTTTTTTAATGTCATGTTAAATAATTTCTCTTTTAGAATTGACCTTTGAAGTGTCCATCCTATACTTTGCTTTTGTCCCTTCCAGCTAAATCTGATCATACTGTGATCTGCCAAAAAAATTGTCTCAATGCTAATTTCAAATAATTCCAAAATTAATTTTTTGGTCATCCACATCATGTCAAGTCTCGACCATGACTGATGCCTGTTAGAATAGTATGTATGTTGTTTTTTCCCCAAGTTTCTTTCTCTCCATACATCACAAATATTAAAATCCTTCCTCAAATCGAATTTTTTTTGGTAATTCTTTTTTCTAATTTTGTGTTATTTCCCTTATAGTCTAATAATTTATCAACAACTGCATTAAAGTCTCTCATAATAAAAAATTCTTCATATTGCAACTCTTTGAGTTTATTATACAATTTTTGAAAAAATGATTCTTGAAGGCCATTCGGTGTGTATATTACTACCAATAAGATCTTTCTATTTCCCAATTCAATTTCAACCATCAGAATCCTACCCTCATTATCTTTATGAATAGCTGGAATCCATTTCTTTTGTACATCAAGGGCAGAAAAAATTTTCCCTAATTTTTTGTTTTCTAATAAGTATTTTTGTTTTTCTAAAATATGTAGTTCCTGTACTGCTATTATATCAACTTTTAATGCCTGTAAATTTTTAAACATTTTTTTTCCTTTTCACTGGGGAATTTATGCCGTTAATGTTCAATGATATCAGTTCACAACTATCCCAATTTTGATTCCTTTGTCTTGTGCTTCTGGTGATTCTAATCTCCTTAGGTTGTTATTTTCCTCTGTAGATTCACCTCTTCCATTCCTTCTCTCTTTATTATCTACTATATTTCCTTCTGCATTTATTACTTCCCTTTTCTTTCCTTCTAACCCACCTCTCTCCTGTGTTGTTTCTTCTGTTTCATCTTCCCTAATAAATTGTTGATCAAGGAAGTCTTCCACTTTTTCAAGGGTATCCAGCCTAAATCTCTTTTCCTGCCATGTTACCATGATACCCTCTGGTACCAGCCACCTAAAATTTACATTATATTTTATCAATTTTGATGTTAGAAAATGGTATGGCCTCCTTAGATCTCTTACCCTCTTTGGAATTTGCTTTAGGACAGTTAGTTGTTTGCCTGCAGATTCAAATGGTTCATCTCTTGTCTTATGTAAAATTTCGTCTCGAATGGATTTTTTGATTAATCTGATATGAACTTCTCTTGGGAGGTTAAACCTCCTTGCATAATTTGTTTGAACTCTGTAGAGTTCGTCTATCTCTGTAAATATCTCTTCCTTATCCATCCCTAATATCTTTGCCAGTATGTCAGCTATCACCTCCAATAAATTTTCTCCTCTTTCATCTTTCACATTTTGAAATCTTAGGTAATGGGCTGCCTTTTCTACTTTCAAAAAGATTACCGTCATCTCTAACTCCTTGTTAGCTTTTTCTAGTTTATCCGTTAAGTCATCTACCCTTTTTTCTTCTTTACCCATCTTTGTCTCAATTTCTACAATTTTTTCTTGATTTTTCCTAACCTATATACTTTATAACAATAATACTTTGCATTAATATTAAACCCCTATTGGAGAGTCTATTAACAAGTATTTAAATATATCAATTTTTCAAATTTCTTATATCACTTAGCAATTTTTTAAGAATATCACTATATTGTCATCAAATAAAACAAAAACAGGAAAGGAAGGAAGGGAAGGCAAGGGAAGGAAGAGGGGACAGTAAGAGAAAGGGAGGATAATTAGTGAATTCAATTTCAATTATATGATTATTAAGGAAGGCACCAAAAAGATTTGTTACTCTGAGTCCTTTCCTAAGATGTCTTCACACTGCAACTAAAAGAGAAAGAGATTTTTTTTAAAAAAGAATCCAGTACTCTAACAGCCACCATTCTCTCCTTTTTAACTTTGTTGCAAAGAGTTGCTGTATATCTTCCGTCCAATCCACTTTTTTTCCTTTCTCCCTCCCTGTTACCAGTAGATGCCTCTTTCCCAATACAGTGTCTCTCTGTCTTCTTTAAATTCACTGTGTCACTCTCCAGCAAGTGTCCATTTTCTTAGAGAAACCTTTTTTCTTTTTAAATCCCTCCAAAATCTCAATCTAGAATCCAAAAAGGAAAAATACGTGAAGATAACCCTCCAGTCCACCGTTAACAATCACTACTACCACCGGTCACCTTTCTAATTCTACTGTCCATATCAGTCTTTTACTTTCACAGTGTCCATCTAAAAAAGACTCTGCTATCAATGTTAAATCCAAAAGATTATTTTCTCCCAAATGTATGTTCTGATCCCGAAACCAAACTTAACAGTAAGCAGCTGCTTATTCCTTCACCCCGTCTCTTGTTTGGCTTTACAGTAGTCTTCTGATCGTTCTGCTCACCATGTGTCTCACCGCTCTGTCACCTCCTCAATTAGAGCCAACTCCGATTGCCAAGCTATTTCTCAATATTATTGTGTTGCGCCTCCTCTTAAATTAATTTCTGATTTGCTTTCAGGTTGTTGCTTTTGTTAGTTTAACTGTACCTTCGTTCTGCTAGTTCACCACTTGTATGACCGGCTGTCAGTGCTCATGGATGGCCATTATTAGTCGTCCGCTCCACCGTTCGCTCATCTCTGGCTTACCCCGATTTCCATCATGGAGCACCGCCCATAGCTTGTCTTTGGAGACCCCTTTCCTTTGGAAGCCCTCTGAGCTTCCTTTAAACTCTGTAGAGTCCTGCAAAACGGGGATAAGGGTCCATGTTTCGCAGAGCTACCTGCTCACATGTCCCTTCTCCCTGATAGCTGGCTCCGCCTCCCAAATTGTTATTCTTAATGCTTTTTGGTAACCCCATTCTCATTCACTCCGAGCTTTCATTTTCCAAACATCAGCCCTATAGTTACTATTTTCTGGAATGTCCTATCTTATTTTCAGATCCTGCGTAAGCTTTTTGTGTAGCTATATTGGTTTCTTTTGCTGTTCTCCATTCCTTCTCCTAATTGGAATATTTTATTTAACAATTTCTAAATGAATGCATGTATTAATTTTCACCATCCTCCTCCCAAAGTTCATATTGATGTCCTTTATTTCATATGAAGCTAAAAGATATTTGTGCGATTGTAGTTATTGTCAGCCAGATTTCCAGCATGGGTTTTTCCTTTGATGCATGCTTGCTATCAGCTGACAGAGTAATGGGGAGGGAGACATGGAATTTGGGTTTTGGGAAGTGAACTGGTGTGGTGAAGGCCATGTGAATTAAAAGGGAGGTTTGCTCTCAAGAATTACTGTGGTCATAAGTGGAGTTGTTTACACTCAGTCAAGGCCAACCATCCTAGAACTCCAGATAAATGAAAATACCAAAAGATGACCTTCACATGATATTATGAAGGATGTGGATTGGACATTTAGCCTGGGACTCTGTGGGGAGGGATTTGGGGAAACTTTCAACCTGTACATTCACACCTTTTGAATCAGATCTTGCTTTGTTTTTGCCGCTATCATTTCAAACTCAATAAAAGTACCTCTTCTCTACTTCAATGGAGTTGGGGATGTTCTTTCTTGGGGTTTGAACAGAGGCAGGCCTGACATTAAGCAAGATCTGCTTTATCAGCCAACCTGGAGACCCAGTCTACCAAGGGGACTGAGCACATAATGTC